ATATTTATGCGGGTATATACAGACCATTAATTGAAGAATTGAATTATATGAAAATAAACTATGAACAGTTTGAATTAAGTATACCTCGATGTTTTCGAAACGAGAGACTATCGTTTTTAGATGATATGGACAATAAGATTGATGAAATAAATAACCGTATTTTAACAGAAGACAACAACAATTCATTAAGTGAAATAAAAAACGAAAGAATTGAAATAGAAGATGTAAATGGCTCTAATAATAATCAATTTATAAGTCAAGAATCATCGGAATCATATTTAGATGTAGACAAATTTGTTATAGATGCACAATCTGCACCTACATTACAAAAAGTTACAAGTGCAGATAATTCAAGAGAATCGTCTATAAAATTCATTCAAAAACATATCAGAGCAGCAAGAGATCGTGTAGCTGTCAATGAATGTATATTTGTATAAATTTATGTTATAGGAATTAACATTATTYAACATTTTTAATCTATTTAATTATTRTTTAATTTAGTAATATCTGCTAGAATAACTAGGGAAAACATAATTTCCGGGAAGTATATACAGCCCAGTAAAGAGAAAGGTCGAGTAGCGGCAGTTAAGATTCAAAGATTTTGGAGATATTATCGTATGATGATACAGATTAGTGCTCGGAAACAAAAACGACACATTCAACTTGGTAAATTTATAGTTAAAATTTGTCAATTATAAAAATACTGTGACTTAATTTATTTTTAWGATTAATTGTGCTCATCTTTACTGTTGAGAAGCAGTTAAAGTATCATATTCGAATTAAAGCTGCAGTATTTATTTATTTATTTAATTYGTTTATYGAAACGACCTCTATAGGTCTTTGTCAATGCTTACCACAACAGTGGGTAGTAGGGAGATCATGTGATCAGCTATTTATCTGGCTGTAGTATTTATAAAACGATACATTGTATGCTATATAATTAACAATTATTTATATGTATATTATAAAAATGTATATTCAAATTTTTTATAATAGGTATGCACATGACTAGTGAAAAACTTAATTTAGATATTTATCGTGAAATAGAGGATATAATTCAAATACAGCAAACTGAAGCAGATATAAAGTATCGTAACACTAGAATTAAATTGGAAGAAAATTTTGTCAAACGTAACAAATATGAAATAATTGAAGAAATCGAAGATGAGCTAAGAACGTACGTTTGGAAGTATTTTAAAACGTGTCATATTTTACCGTCTTGGCCAGATTCGAAACCTATCGTGTTTTCTGACGATGATAATAATATTATTGGATTACCGCCAATAAGTAAAGATAATATATTATTTAAAACTGTGGTAAAATTTTGAATAATTTCTAGTAAATTTTAACTATTTATAGTTTTATCGCCTGCTATCTTAGAGGACTTAAATATACCGGATGTACGTTATAAGTCAGCATTAAAACAAAGATTACCACTTGGAGGTTCGGCTATTATTCAAACAGGAAGATGGATGACAATAGAAATGGCTGAAATACTTGCGATGTTAATTATAGAATTTGAAAATAAACCAGCAAAAGAGAAAAAATTACTAATGAAACAATTGGCAGAAAAAAATAAAATAGTAATGTATACATTTATATTTTATGCATATTATATTTAAAAAAAAACAATCCGTAAAGTATAACTATTACTATAAAATTATATATAACATATRTCTAGGAAAAAGAAAAAAATCTYGAAAGCGCAAAAATTAGAGAAAATTTAACAGCATCAATTAAAATTGTGGGCATCGTTCTGGAATTAAGTGAATTAACGGAACGATTTAAAGAAATATTTAACGAATATGATAGTAATTGGGCGTTATATAATGGAATCGAAAATGAAATTAGGGAAGATTTAATAAAATCTGAAATTTTTTCAAATGCTCAAGTGGAACTTAGAACTTTAGTTGATGAAACTATTAAAGAAGAATTGAATATTCTAAAAAAGGCATATGCTCGAGACTTGAGTAAAGTGCTTACTAAAATGTTGAATACATTTATGTATTTACGTTGTTCTTAATATTATGTAAGAATTATATTAACTTATTTCAGAAAAGAAATATAAAGAACCAACAAAAAAAGTTACAAAAATTTTTGAAAAAAGAGATTCTGAAAAAAATAAAACACCAGACCCAATTAAAATCTTTGAAGAATTGGTTAAAAACAATTTACTTAAAAAGTCAGTAACCTCCAGATTTATAGATTTCCAAGGAGAAGTGTCATTAAGTGCTAGTGTATTGAGAGGAGAACCATATTATTCTGATCCACCCTACTGCTTAGGTGATGTACGTCAAGTAAGTTAATTAAATTTAATATAT